TTGCAGCTGTCATTGCATATACAAGTCTGTTGATCTATTTGGATTCCCTGTTTGAAGGCGCGTGTAAAAAAAACTTTTGTGTATCACGCTATAGCAGATTCTGCAGACCAAACATTTCAACTCAGTTTCGTGCCATCTGTAGGTTAGAAGTGGTGCTGCATCGCTTTTCTGTGCCTCTACATTTTTTGGCGATGGTGGGTTTGGCGTCATTGTATTAAGCTGGCTTCTCAACTTTACTCCTTCATATCACCAAGATTGGCTGAGAAGGAATTTTTTTTGGGGGGGTTCCTCTAATGGTCCCCAACGAATTAGTAGAGAGATGGTCATTTTGGAATCACCCTGTATATGCTTTCGAATGACCAATACAGGTATACCATCTAGACGTCCGTTCCTGACTTAGACGAATTTGAATTGCACATTTCAAATAAACCCCCCCTCTGTTCCTAAGTTATCTTTCAGCTGGGAAATCTCATTATGTATATACATGACATTAAAGACAATGAACCTAAATTAACAGTAACATTGCAATGAATGGAAATAACCGCTTACTTGATGTTGTTGTAACTAATTGTAATTGTAGGGTATATGAAAGTACTTTCAGTTTTGTCGACATTGATACACACCATCCTCCACTTATGATAGAAATTGAGTTTAAAACCTCTAGACAAAAAAATTTGACAGAGAATGGGAATAGTCACTCCCAAAATTACAACTTCAGGAAAGCTGATTTCGACGCTATATACCAATTGTTTCACAATGCTTCTTGGAATGACCTGGAATCTCTTGACGATGTCAATATGGCTGTTAAGCATTTCTATGATAAAATATATAATATTTTTGAGATCTTTGTTCCAAAAAGAAAAAATTGCTCAAAGATATATCCTGTATACTTTACGAAACATATTAAAGATATAAAGAGTAAAGAGAAGTTGAGAACTAAGAGTAAGAGGACAAAGAATATAGAAACGTATAATCAGTTTATTCAATTAAGAAACAAGATAAAAAAGGACATAGAGGCAGCACACGAAGATTGTTTAATTGAAGTTCAGCAAGACATCAGCCAGGATTCAAGGTCATTTTGGCGATATGTGAATAACAAAAAGAGTGTTGTTGGTATACCTAACACAATGCATTTGAATAATTTGCAATTTGTTGATGGTAAATCAATATCGAATGCGTTTGCCGCATATTTCAGTTCAATTTATGCTAACGATCCTGAACATTCTGACATCCATGATGTACTGGGTGACTGTCAGGTTTTTGATGCTTTGTGTTTGGACCAAATCAAATATGAGGATGTTTGTGATGCTGTCAGGTGCCTCAAAGTTAACAAAGCAGTTGGTCCGGATAATGTGCCATCATTTGTTTTTAAAGGAATTATCGGTTTTTTGGCAGAGCCACTTAGGATTTTGTTCAATCTTTCATTGAAAACAAACACTTTTCCTCAAGCATGGAAAGAAGCAAGGATTTGTCCTATATTCAAAAAAGGTGATAGCACGGATATGAAAAATTATAGGCCTATATCACTTTTGTCGTGCCCAGCCAAAATATTTGAGTCCATCTTATATAAGTTTATATACAATTTTGTGAAAAACAAGATATCAGCCAGACAACATGGTTTCCTGAATGAGCAATCTACGGCTAGTAATTTGTGTGAGATCATTATATTGCTGAGAGCCTTGATGGAAGATGCCAGGTCGACGTAATATATACAGATTTTGCCAAGGCTTTTGACAGAATATCGCATAGCATCCTTATAGAGAAGCTGTGCAATGAATTTGGTTTTCATGATAATCTGGTGGCTTTTTTTGAGTCATATTTACATAATAGACCACAGCGGGTTGTTGTCAGGGGTTACTACTCCGATTATTTTTGTGTAACTTCAGGTATTCCGCAGGGCTCTAACCTCGGAACATTGCTCTTTCTGTTGTATATGAATAATTTAGTTAATGAAATCAGTGATACAGAAGTATTATTGTTTGCAGATGACCTAAAACTATACTCCTGGACAAAATTATCGCACCACTGCTTATGGTGATGCTTATGTGCAGTGGTGCGATAATTTTGTCCAGGAGTATATATTCAAGAATTAACAACTACAATGACTGTCAGTATGTTCAGAAAAATTTGGACAAAATATGTCTATGGTCAATTAAAAATAAATTACAATTTAATATTGACAAATGTTTTGTGCTTAGTTTTAGTAGAAGAAAAACGCATTTTAACTATGAGTATACAATGAACAAAAGGGCACTGGCTAGGGTTGCAGAAATGCGGGATCTTGGGGTAATATTTGACACCCAGCTTACATTCAGAAGTCATATAAATGATACAACAAGTAGGCAGGGCCGGATCTACGAATTTTTCGAGGTGGGGCAAAGATGTGAATTGTCGCCCCCTGCTAAATATTATTTTTTATATATATATCAAAAATGAGGTGTGGAATTTCACAATTTATTTACATGTAGCAGTAGCGGCTCGTGGTCTATACTGGAAGGGGTTCACACCTAAAGTGATCCAGTAGTTGAAGCCCAGCGCGTGGGATCCAGAGTTATAGCGCACCGCAGGTGCCTCCAAAGGCAGAAATTATTTTCGGGTGCCACGCCCAAAAACGTATTTCAAGCCTCCAAAAAAAATTTATTGGGATATCAAAGATTAAAAGAACTTAATTTTTTAATCGCTCAATATTTGACAAGTCTTTTCATCTGGGAGCTGGTAGCGCACAATACATAGCTGTGGTCGGAGCCGGATTCAATGTTGTACCATTGTACAACCAACAACCAGGGATGCTATCAGCACTAAAAAAATTGTACCAGAAAGTAGAGAATAATTGTACTAGATTGGCGAAATTGTGTACTAACTTTGAATGAAGAAATAACTAAATTTTTACATAGGTATTTAGTTATAAATCGACTACCGATTACCGTGATCGGCTGAATAACCGAATAACCCCCGATACACACGTTAAGTCACAAAATAAAAAAGTGCGCGTGTGCTCGAAACCATAGGCAATTTTTCGCGAGGATAATCAAGCCTTATCTCATACTCACTGATCTCATACATAAACAAAAAACGCTTCTTATGCTGCTAATTTACGATGTCCTAATGTAAACAACTGGGACAGCTGTGAGCGTGCGCAGTAGATACATTGTATTGTGCTTGCGCAAAATATTGTCAATGGAAATGAAGGATTCCAAAATTTAGAACAGTTGTTCGGAAAATAACACACCGCGCAGGCGTTAGGCTGTTCCGTTGCACGTTGCACAACTGTTCGTAGAATATTGACCCCAAATTTTCGCACAAATTTAGCCAATCAAGCCGTACGATTGTTTATCCATTTATTTTTGAGGTCAGGGCGGAGTTCAGAAATAACGCACAGGGTGCGAGTGCGATTTTATGGGTGTGCCTGAATTGACAATTGGCCATTGGGGCCATAGCACCGCCTTGCATTTTTGAACAGCTAGTGTGTCGCACCGGTGTCACACTCACACTGGGTGTGTCATTTCAGAACTCGCCTCAGTGCTTATACTGGATTATGTGATATGTCAATTGTGTCATACATCCCAATGTCATACTTCTCTAACTCCCCCACCATTAAATTCTGGGATACCCAAGGATCAAGAACTTCTGTGAGGACAGACGAAAAATCACCTTTTCTACTTTTAAAATCGACGAAAAAATTGTCACTAGCACAGCCTAAATCGCAAGCATTTCATAGATGTCTGCGGCTGACGTCATCACTATAAGCTGCTGATAGTGACGTCACTCGCAGGCCCAGAATTTGATGGTGAGGGAGTTAGGGGAGTATGACACAATTGACACATCACATAACCCAGCATAATCAGATTAGGCTTGATTATCCTCGCGAAAAATTGCCTCATATTCGAAACGCCAAATCCTAGTATAGAATTTTACCTGTCATGATCCCAGCCCTGGAACGTGGAACGTGGAACGCAACACCCAACCCACCAGTAAAGAGTAGAGTTCAGAACTCGAGTACAGTATTATACAGAGCAAACTTTGCCTTGAGTAAGGTTACTGTGGGGTTGTCGGCTGTTCTATCAGAAGATGTGTTACAATATTAGATTTGAAAAAAATATTCGCTAGATATGTATGTTTTATGAAAAAAAGTAAGGCAGTTTCTTTCAAGGTGTCTTCTCTTTTTGCCGCCCCCTCAAGATGCGAAGGGGGGCACGCGCCCCTGTTCGCCCCCCCCCCCCTAGATCCGGCCCTGCAAGTAGGGCATCTAAAATGTATGGATTTATTGTCAGAAATTGCAAAGAGCTCAATATATTGTGTGTTAAAACTCTGTATTTTTCATATGTGAAGAGCATATTAGATTATTGTTCTATAATATGGAGCCCGTGTTATGAGAACCATAAATGTAGTATTGAAAAAATTCAAGATAAATTTTTGAGATATTTACACTACAAGGAAACAGGGCGATATGAAATGCATGTACCAAAATTAGAAATCATGAAATTCATAATATACAAACGCTTGAAGGCAGGAGAAAAGTTTCTACAATTATATTTCTTTATAAAATATTAAATAACATGATAAATGCTCCTTATTTGTTAAACCAAATTAAATTTTATGCTCCGACATATAGAACACGAAATCCTTTGAGCTTATATACTGATAATACTCAAACTAATTACTTCAACAACTCACCTGTTATTGTAATGTGTAAATTATACAACCAAAAGCGCTTACAATTTGATATGTGGCATTTAAGTTCTGTGAGTAGGCTGAAATTAATACTTAATGATATATTTTCACAAATGTAGATTTTAATGTTAAGTAACCCTCTTGGTAACTTTTTACTTTATATTTTTGCTTTCACTTAGGTTAGTCTTCTACCCTACTCTGTAACTGGATGAAAATCTGTAGAGTTTGTAATGAATAAATAAATAAATAAATAAATAAACATACTAAAATTGTTTAATCATATTCTTTATATACGAAGCTAAAATGATCATTAAAATTGTAATTTTAAGGTGTTAGTAGTCATTCCAAAGATGTTCAATCGGCTCAAAACTCACCCATACCTAGCAGACTGGAAAGTGATGCCACAGAATCACACAGCACTCAGCAACCAGAAACAGTAAATGATAGTCAAGATAAATTGATAACTATAAAATTGAAATACATTAACGATGACATGAGAATTGTTGATGGTCGATTGGAAGAACTTCTAGGCGATTTTAAGAGGTTAGAACTTCAAAAATCATAGCTCAAAGAACTGAAAAAAATATATATATTATTCCTTTTAGGAGACACTTCATGGAAGAACTAAACGCAAATAAAGAAATCAAACTAATTTTCAATGGCCAAGTTTTAAAACAAGACAGAAATAGCCTGCAGAGTTGTGGTCTATTTGATAATTGCGTTGTCCACTGTTTGATTCATCAAAAAAGGCCATCGGCTGCCGACAGAAATAATCCACAACAGAATTTCAATGAGAATAATGAATTTTTAAGGGAAGTGCCCTTTATTCACGTAACAAATGCAGACAATAACAATCAAGACTTGGGTTGGGATTTGAGCAATTGTTTGTTTGCAATTGTAAGCTTTATTTTGCTGGCAGCTTGGTACTTTAGGTATGTAATTTTGTTGTTAATTTTTGGTGATGTGATGTGTATTGAAAATATTTGAAATTCTTGTAACTTTTAAAAAAAGCTACAATCTTTGATTCTGTTCGCATATAATTTCAATTTGAGACAATCAATGTTATGCTAATAATTGGATTGTTTGTTTTTTCAAAAGGTGCAAGCAAGTGATAAATTATGGTAGAATGATACTATTGACATTATTGAAAGAAAAAAGATTGCATGCATTTTTTATAAGATTCAATGCTTGTCTTGTGATTGTTAATAATTATTAAGCTTATATTTGATTTATATAAATTTGCAATTTGTGAATAATTAAAATGATTCATTTTTGAAAATGTTTTATTTACATGGTTTCTGATTCGATCAATTTCTTTCAATAATGTCGATGCTGATGAATGAGTATAATCCTTCCTTGCTGGTTTATACCAACTTAGCCACCAAAATTAATAAACCATGAGTAGCTCTTACAGCTCACCTAGAATTGGGTAAGAAAGACTTAATATCTGAGAAATGGATTCTCTTGGATTATATTAGATAACTTTTTGTTGAATATCCAAAAGTTTTAAAATTTTGATTCCAGGATTCCAAATTATCTTTTATCACAATTTTGCAAGTCCAGTCCTATGATAGAGTTTTACACATTTAATAGTGAGGGTGGGAATCGGGATATTTTTGAAACTAAATTTATTGAACAGTTGCACTGAGATCTGCACTTTTTTCAGGGCTTCGTTAAACTTTGAAATATTTTAAAACAATCGATATACAAAAGCAAAAGTGACCAGGGATTAGGGATGTCCCGGAGTTCTGTGATTTTCATTAGGTCTATTAAGGGGGCCGTTCATTTATATTTTCTGCGCCTGCTCGAAAAAACAGAAAGATTAATATCATTGCTAGAAGGTTTTAGTTCATTTTCCTCAACGGTAAGTCTAGATTAACATCGGAAAATATGGGTGAACACTTCAGTTTATACATCATAATTTAAAAAAGATAACATTTGGCTCTCACAATTTGATTTTTCACACATGAGAACTAAACTATACTGATTTTGTTTTAGATATGTATACGCCCATCTTTACACAATAACAGCCACTGTAGGATTGATAATTATCACAGGCATATTTTCCATCATACTTCTGGGAGCTTATTTTCCAGACAACGAGGCACCGCCTGATGCTAGTGTTCAAATACGAGTCACTAGAACCGAAAGGATAGAGGTACAGCAACAGCAATAAATAGTGATATTGATTTTATTTATATACAATACATATACAGTTATCTTATGTGAATTTTCAAGTAATATTTTTCTCCCATTTAGGGTTTAATTTTGTAAGATGTTATGTTGCTTTCTATTTTTGTCTTTTTGAGCACTTCTTGAATTTAAATAAATTTATTTCTAAACAAATGGGTTTTTTTCACAAAATATATTTCATAGTTGTAAGTCCCAGGAATTTGCAATTGAATGTTTTCGATGTGACAAGTTGAGTAGTAGACGAAGAGCTGGCTACGGACAGGTAGGGGTGACTTGGTAAAGTAGAAATTTTGTCATTTACAGGTTCGCTTGTTACCAATATAGCGAAAGGCGGGCCATCAGAAGTCTCCCTGGAAGTATAAAGTGACGGTAGGGGGTTAAACATGCAATTTTGTTTGAAAAATAAGTGATAAGGTACAGTTCTGAAAATTTGCAATATATTCGGAGATAGTATAAGAAAGTAGGGAAAAAATTGTCAGAAGTCTAGGCGGAAGATAAATTGCCGCCAGAAGGCGCTCGTTTTGCAAAAAATTCGGCAACAATTATGTCACTACGTACACTTCTGACAATTTTTATATTTATTCTGTAATTTAAAATGAATTTACTAGCAAATCGTCAGAAGGTTTAATGGAAGAATGACGGAGATATTGCCGATAGTAGGAGTGTCTGTGCTCCGTTCAGTTCTGACGATTTATCAACATAATTTACAATATTTCAGTACACCATTGTTCAACTATCAGAAGTCAATTAGGAAGGCATACATAAACTTATATTTTATAAAGGAAAAAATATGACGACTAATTTTTATTTCATGAGTGCTTTTAAATATTTATCAAATATCACTATTATACAGGGTGTCTCAGCCGAGAGTGATCCGTTTTAAATGCCTGTGTGCTAGCTACCTGCGGTTTGCGCCATTCGATTTTTCTTGACCTAAAGTTTTTTAGTAGGTTGCAAATTTTTTTGCCTCTTATAAAGGGCGATTAAAAAAAAATCCGTTTTTCAACATCAAAATTCTCCACTATTTTTAATGGAACGCCATGTATATCACAACGCCAAAAAAAAAGAGTAATTTTTAAGGTATCCCTGTACCAATAGTTCTTCAACTTGAAGTTTTAGCCATAAAAAATTAAAATCAAAATCCTGGTATTTTTTATTAGCATATTACAAAGCTTGGAAATTATGGTTATGGTTAAAAAAAAAAACAGACTTTAAGTTATTTATTTACGACTAATGTATAATGTAAGTATTATATCGGGTCTTCAAAAAAAAAAACCAATCTAGGATTGCTATGGTTTTTTAAACGTATGTCTTAGCAATATTTTTATTTAATTTTGTCAATGAACTTTAATGTCAAAATGACTTGTCAAAATACTGTCCAATAAATAAACAGTAATGCGACGTACGTTTTCATAATCATAGCAATCTTCGATTGGTTTTTTTTTTTTGAAGACCCAATACTTGTGATTTTGGCAGTATAATGACATATATTGACGTGAAGCGGGATTAATGGTTATTATTCCTCAAAAGTGTCAGTGTCAAACGTGTAGAGTGCTTACAAAACGCTTGTGGATTTGTATTGAAAATAGACCTAACTATTTTTACCTGGTATGCGTGCGCAACACGAGGCAATGCCTTTTCATTGGCAAACTAGTACAGGTGAGAGATGTTCATTTTGCACGTTGGGCATCTCCTTCCCAAGCAGCGCTTTTACGTCCTAACAACGTCGTCATTGATGTCTTGACGTTAAGGCGCGACGTCAAATAGACGACTTTACAACCCTTATTTTCACCAAAATGGAGAATCATTTCATGGTTGTAACGACGTCGCAGGTCGCGAGGCTTTACTAATTTTTAACTTATACGTCAGCATACACAACCAGATTTGAACGTTTACTAAACGTCGTAAACCATGACTAACCTAAAAACAAATAACTACCAAACCAAATAAAGGACGTTCCAGGTTTAATATATTGCACCAAATTCGTACTTTTGGTTTATTATTAGTGTTATTTTATTTCCCAACTCATCAAATCAAAAACAAAATGAATAGGTATCTATAAGAATATTGGGGGACATAAAACAATAATGGCGCCTGGCCTTATCAACAATAAAATACGTGAAACTAAATATTTAGCTCTTGTAGGCACAAAAACTTCAAACGAAGTGAACTTTTCTGTCAAATATAATTATGATATGCACACAAAACAAACGGGCTCCTATTTTGTTGATATTTTCCAAAAAAAAAATAAAAAATCTGTAATTTACATAATTTCTTAAATAGTTCCGACGGGTCAAAAACATCTTTGGGCAAGACCGATTTACACAAAAATAAATAATTTTGACAAAATTTCCTTATTAGGGATTGATTTTTCAGATATTATTTTATTTTTATTAAAAGTGCAGCAATGGCGGATGATTAGATAGGACCTTGCGATATATCAAATGGTCGAGTTGATAATCTACACCTTATCCTAACCTAATGCGTGTTTTCGTCATGAAAATGGACTTAATGTATTTAAACATAGGACCATAGGTAATAAAATAGTACAAACATATAAACCTAGATTGACTATAGGTCCTATGAGGTAACCTATCGTAACCAGTTCAGTTCTTTAGGTGGTTCAACGCTCTTATTTATTTGAAATTTTTGCAGGAAATTGTAAATGTTTTATTTTTGATGTTCAAAATCTTGAAATATTTCCTTTTAACCCGACATTTATTAAATCTTTTTTAATTTCCTAATTGGAAATTACAAGGTTCTCTTCCAATTTTCCTACTTCTTGCTCCATTTCCTTCATTTCTCCCTTGTCACTAAATCTAAAAAAAAAAATTCTTCTTCTTGTAATATGTGGATGAGTATTTGAAGCTCCTGTTTTCTCCCATATATCATATCAAAAATACAAAAGCAAATACTTATTCAAATTGTTGAAAACTTTTTATAGTAACGCCATATCTATTGTTTGTTTATGTTTTTATTTGACTGATGACAGTTTATTAACGAACGACGCAAAAAGTATGAAATGCTACACCAACTTTCACCTGTGTCCAATTTTAACGTTGGCCGGACGTTTTTCCAAGACCTTTATCTGACCTCATAATTGGTCGTGTCAGACGACGTTTTTAAAACGTTTCAGAGGTCACAGGAAATGAAGATAACGACAGATTGACGTCTTTAATGCAACGTTGAATTTGGTACAATATTATGACGTCTATTTTACGATTTTTATCTTACCTTATGATTGGTTGTATTAAACGACGTTTAAAAAACGTTTCAGAGGTCACAAGTATACAAGAGGACGACGGATTGACGTTATCAATTTAACGTTAAAACTGGTTTTCATTTATTACGTCAAAATTGAGCTAGATAAAGGTCCGATTTCTTGACCACATATTAAGGACGACGGCACGACGTAATTTTAACGAACAATCATTGTCGGTCACTTATCTGCACTTTTAGCGACGTTGTATTTGGTTAATACGTAGTCGCAGGGTCATGTATGTGCTACTTGGGTTGTCCTTATTCATTGCCTGTGGTCTGACAAGAATGAAAGTACGGTTGATATTTAACTTGACAAGTGACATTCAAAAGTTGTTTGAAATTTTCATATGTTTTCATTGACAAATACGTTGCACAACACGCGGCTTCTCCTTCCCTTTTTACCCCGTGCAAATAAGGACGGCTTGCTATACGTAAGTCTAACATAATTCGGTACGTTTTACCTCGTCTTGCGCAATGAGCGTTCTGTGTCTTTTTTTATCTAATGAAGTTTTCGTATTATTTCCTCTTTGTCTGGTAAAATAGATAATGTTTGTTTTTTTTTTTAAAGATAATTCCCCAAGTCAAAAATTTAGTATTGTCCGTCGATTTTAATCTGATACTCGGACGGAATGTGAGCTGGTGACACCCTACATTAGAACGCCAATGGTTACCTGACGTCACACCTGTTTTTGCCATGTGAAACACCCCCACGCTCCTCATACGGAAAGTGTCAGTTAAAAATCGACGAACAATAACTATGTTGGCAACACAAGCCTTTTCTACATAAAAAATTTGGAAGCATTGATAATTTTACATTGTACTGCCAACATAATGTTATTTATATCATTATTGACTCGTGGTATAATCTACTATTATTCACCTCGGTGCATTCCATATTTATTTAGCATACTTCAAAGCTGTGGACAAATTTATCGAGAACTGTGTGTAGTGACTACAGAAATTTTAATCAAGAATAACAAGGACTTACCAAACAACCATCCCAGGAGAGATCATCACTTAGACAGCACAACTAGAAACTTCAATTAAAATTTATCTGAACATCGATATCCAGAAAGTATTGAAAGCCGATACCCTATATTGACTAAATACATTGGAATGTGAATAAAGCAAATTTCATGGACCTTTTTTTTTTTTAAGTGCTTTCAACAATTAACATTCCAAAGGAGCCGAAAAATTTCTTAAAGGATCAATAATGCCCGATTGCACCGTCTCTCTTAACTGAGGCTTAACGATAACTATCCCTTAAATTGACAGTTTTGCATGGGAAAATGTCACTTTAAGGAATATGTAGTTATCTTTAAGCCTCGTTTAAGAGAGACGGTGCAATCAGGCATAAATCATGCACGAGCCTATATGATGATACCCACTTAACAAACCACTTAGCAACGCCCTTGATAATTAATTAAAAGGGGACCAAATACACTAATTGATCGGATGATTCAACCACGAAAAATCGAGGTTAGGAAAAATAAAGAAGTTCAAGACAATGGAGGGACCAATGATATAAAAAAGCAACTTTGGCAGGAGAAAAAGAGTATTCGAGAAAAGAGTGTTCGAGAAAAGAGTGTTCGAGAAAAGAGCGTTCGAGAAAGAGCGGGTAAACGGGCAGAACTACGGCGTGTAGGACCAGAGTCGATTGAGTAATTAAGAAACAAGTAGTAATCGAGAGTCGAGAGACCTGTGTCCACAAAGTCAGAATTACGGCGTGAAAGAGTTGTCGAATTAACCGAGAGAAGAAGCACGACGTGAAATAACAGCGCGAAAATATTCGAGTTTTTATTAATTGTCCATAATTAAAGTAAATTCCTTCGACCAATAAGATTTCCATGTAATTAGGTGTGGCGAGCAGTAAATATATTATTGTTAAATATAAGTAGAGTTTTTTTATGTTCAGCCAGAAGTTGTGAAGGCAAGAGTGTGAGTCGAGTCAAATTGTAAATTAAAATTTCACTTGGAATCATATAAATTTTCCTTAACAATTAATTGATGCTTATTAGAAATTTAACAATTTTATTGTAAGATTATTTAATAACAAGCATTATTTATTTTAATAAAATCAACTTTATTTTAATTGACCACAATATTTCTGTGTTTTACTCTCCACCTTCGCAAATAGGACACATTTTAAACTGTGTCTCCACTCAGAAACTAAAGTCACCACTCGCCAATTTAACATCTTGCCAAGTTTCTGAATTTGGGGTCTCACAATAGCAAGTAGGTACCTACAACATGAAGTTGCATGCTTTTGCAAAAATACCAGAATTTCGATTTCAATTAAAACCATTAGGGAAATTTACAAAAACTCTCATATAGAAATAAAAGTTGGAAACACACTCTCCAACGGTTTCGTCACAAACAAAGAGTTAAAAAGCAAGGTTGTTGTTTGTCTCCTACACTTTTCAAAATATTTTTAGAAAAAGCGCTGCTACAATGAAAACGAAAATGTAGCAATATGGGTATCCCGCTTAACGACTACACCATCTATACCCTAAGCTTCGCAGACGATCAAGTAGCAATGGCGAGAGGCATTGAAGATCTTGAATATATGACCTGGACCATGAAAGATCCAGGGAATTCCTGAACCCTTTTAATCCCTACAACTCTATAGCAGCCTCACTATAGATTAAAGACAAAGTGGCTTGGCCGTAGTAGGTTTTTGTGAGTACAACAACGTTTAATACTGATTTTATTAATCTTCAGGCGATAATTTATTTTAAAATTCTACATAAACTGACATTGCTCTACCCCTGGATTCTCACGTCAAGTTCCAATCCAAGGCAAAATTGCTATAACATTAAACATCTAAGTTTTGTACGCAGAAAGCTAGTTGAATATAGCGGGGACTAGAGTTCAACATAATCTAAAACCGAATACATGTGCATCGGCGGGCCCCAACATGATCTGCAACTAAATTGGTCAAACTATTGAAGGTTGCGAAAAATACAAATATTTGGGAGTGAAGATGTCAAGTAGTGGAACGCTAGATGAAGCTATTATATATAGATAGAAATGCTCAAGAAAGAAAAGCAATATCTATGCTAAACAGTGTTCTATGGAACAACCATATCTCTAAAACCAATAAACACAGAATATACAACACAATGATAAAAAGCATTGTCTCCTATCAGTCCTATCCTATAGAAGCGAAGTATGGCAGCTAAAGGATAGGACCGTAGCACCGTACGTACAGAAATTCGAGAAATATTGGGTATAATAGGACAATCGTTGATGACATAAGACACAACAGCTAAATTGTTATCCACGTTGCAAAGAATGTCTGATGAGAGACTGCCAAAACAGATTCTTGATTGGAAGTCAGCAGGAAGACGAAAAAGGGGAAGACCACGAAAAAGCTATAGAGAGGGGATAGACAATAAGGAGATAAGAGACCGGGGACTGGAAGAGGATCTCTGGCTGGATAGAGATCAATAGCGAGTCTGGGACTGGGCATCGGAAGACGTCGAACATCTTACATGCCAATTTAAATGCAATAATATGAAATGTCTAGAAAAAGTTTAGGTTAAATAGAGAACGGAAACGATTTCCCCTGTTCCACCTCCAGCATTCCCAGCGCTGCATGCTGCAGGTAGAATAGGGGAAATCGTTTCCGTTCTCTATTTAATCTTAGACTTTTCCTATACATTTCATTCTATCGCACTAAAATTGGCATGTAAGATACTGGCTTGCCAGACCTGTATATATAAATTCTCTACAAACCTGCTATCAATTGGGATTTTGATTTGGTTCCGAGATTTTTGCACCTGAGAAGCTTCAAAGTTGAATTTATCGAACATTGAAAATTTTCCAAAAAGGTCACTGAGACAGTTTTTACCTCACAGCTCCGATAATTTTCATCCGATTTCAACGCAATTAGACTCTAATTAGAGCCAATTAAATTTTCTACAAACCAGTTAATTAAGATTTTAATTTACTTTGAAGAGTTTTGCAGCTGAGATGCTTCAAAATGGAAATTATCGAACACTGGAAATTTGCCAAAAATTACACTAGACAGTTTTGGGCTCATAGCCCCCTTAATTTTCATCCGATTTCAATGTAATTCCGCTCTAATTGAAGCTAATTAAATTCTCTACAAACCTATTAATTAGGATTTCAATTTGGTTCCGAGATTTTTGCACCTGAGATGCTTCGAAGATGAATTTATCGAAAATTGAAAATTCTCCGGTAATTTTTCTGCGATTTCAACGCAACTAGATTCTAATCAGATGCAATGATTAAATTCTCTACAAACCTGTTATTTAAGATTTTAATTTACTTTCCACACTTTTTCAGCTGCTGTGATGCTTCAAAATTGAAATTATCGAACATTCGAAATTTGCCAAAAATGACACTAAGACAGTTTTTGGCTCAGTCCCTTTAATTCTTATCCGATTTCAATGCAATTAGACTCTAATTAAAGCTAATTAAATTTTTTACAAAGCTGTTTATTTAGATTTTAATTTAGTTCCAACAGTTTTGCATCTGAGAAGCTTCACAATGATTGAACAATGGAAATTTTCCAAAAACGACACAGAAAGTTTTTGCATCACAGCTCCGTTAATTTTCATCTGATTTCAGTGTAATTAAGCTCTAATTAAAGCCAATTAAATTATCTACGCACCTGCTAATCAAGGTTTTGATTTGGTTTCAATTATTTATTTATTAATATATTAGTACAAATTATTTTTGTAGTTATGTTACTCCTAGTAGTTATCTTGAGAAAAGTTCCTTTTGATTTTTACTTTCGTATCTAAGAAGTGTTTGAATTATTGTTATAAGTTGACTAATTTTCTTAAAGATTCTTCTTTTGTCTTATATAGATAAGAAAAATGTGCATAATCTTGACTTTGGATTCCTGAGTTGTATGAGTGGGTTTTTGACACAAAAAGCCCAAAGCCCACTGGGATTTTGTTAATATTTTTTTTTTTTTTTTTACGGATATGCGCACTCGCAAGGACAATGTCCTATCACGCTCGAGAAGCGGCAAGTGCGCGGAAATGTCGGTGTATGTTGGTCTTGAAACGGTTCAGGTTGTAACCTGCAGGGAAAACCGTCGCAGGGAGTTTATTCCACAGCGATGCTGTTCTCCAGAGATATGAATTCTGATATAATGAGGTTCTTGGTGCCTCTAGTTTGACAGTAAATTCATGGTTACCGTCTGTTTGACGGGTTCGCCTGGTAGGCGCTACTCTCGGTGGAATCATACGTGCCAACTCTTCAGAGCATTTTCCGTGATAGTACCTGTAGAAGAGAGATAAATCGCCCGCAGATCTGCGATGTTCGAGACCATCCAAGTTACGAGTAAGTGCAGGGTCATTGATCAGCTTGATAGCTCGTTTTTGCACGGTGTTCAAAAGCATTAAGGTATGTTTGGGTGCTGCACTCCATATATGTGAGCAGTACTCCATAGTTGGTCGAATCTGGGCTTTGTAGAGTGTCAGCAATTGGCTTGGTGTGTACAGATGTCTTGTACGAAATAGCACCCCCAGCTTTTGGGACGCCCTTTTAGCAATATCTGCCACGTGATTGTGCCAAGACATGTTGGTCTCTGCAGTAACCCCCAAGATGTTCAACTGACTCTGTAATGTGACAGCACTTCCAGATAGCATGATGTTTGGCTCACCGATGCTGTTCTTTTTTGAAAACAGAGCTGCTTGGGTTTTCTGTGCGTTGAACTGTACAAGGTTTTTGTTACCCCAGTCCTCTATTATCTCCAGGTCGTTATTTATCTGCGATATTTGAGTTAGTCTAAGATGATGGAATTCACGTGCGGAAAGACCTGTGGGTGGTATGAGTGAGGAGACTACATTGCCATTGTCTGCAAAGCAATAAAGTGGATTTACTGTTTTATCTGTGAGGTCATTTATGTAAATCAGAAAAAGAGTTGGCGAAAGGATGGCTCCCTGTGGCACACCAGCATTTATTTGGTAAGAGTTGGAGTTCTGGCCATCCAGTGCAAGATAAATGGATCTGTCCTTTAGGTAGGTAACTTTCAAACCAAGTGCAAAGTTTCGGCGATAATCCCATTGCTTTGAGCTTGTTGAGCAGATTTTCATGCCAAACTTTGTCGAATGCTTTAGATATATCTAAGGCAATTGTTCTTGTTTCACCCGCAACTCAATCGCTTTTTGCCATAAGTGAGTGACGTATGTAAGTAAATCGCCAGTTGACCTATATTTTCGAAATCCGTATTGCTTATCGTTGATAATTTTGTACTTTTCCAAAGTACTTGGTTAGGTGACTGTTCACAACTCTTTCCATTACTTTTGATATCACCGGAAGTAGAGCAATTGGTCTATAGTTTAACGGATCTGTCTTTTTTCCTTTCTTTGGAATGGGTTGTACTGCGGCAGACCTCCATGATGATGGATATACTCCTCGCCTGTAAGACAAATTGAATAATTTTGCGAAAGTTGGGGTGAGTTCGTTGGCGCAATTTTTGAGTACTATTGCGGGAATCCCATCCGGACCCATTGCTTTGTTTGTATCTAGCTTTTTAAGGGATTTTCGTATTTCTCTGTGACAAAAGGGTACCTCTGGCATACTATGGGAAACCCTTTCAATGAACGGTGGAGTTTTTCCGTTTGGCACTGTTAGGTTGGAGTTGGAGGAAAACATTTGGGCCAGCATATTGGCTTTTTCCTCTGATGTTGTGGCTAAGTGATTATTTTTATCTGTAAGTGGTGATATGGATGACTTGGTGAAGTTAGATCCAACAGCTTTTGCAAGAGACCAAAAGGACCTAGAACTACTTGGACAATTCAGCAACCTGTTTTTTATTCTTTGATTGTATGTTTCTTTAGCGCAGTCAATAGTAATTTTGCAACTATTTCTGGCTTCTATAAATTCTGTGTGGTTTTGAGCGGTTTGTTGTCGTTTCCAAAGGTTATATGCTCTGTGTTTTTTCTGTACAGCCGTTTGACACTGGCTGTTGAACCAAGGTTTTGCATTAGCTCTACGTTTAGTTGTATGTGGGATATATGCATCCATTCCAGATAAGATTACTTGTGTTATTTCATTACAGCAAATAGTGGGATCAGCTGTTTTAAAGCAAACCTCTTGCCATGGAAAATCCAGGTAAAACTGTTTTAGGTCATTCCATTTTGCCGATTTATAGTGCCACATTTTACGAGGAAGTGGTTGTTGGCTTGGTGGGATGAGCATTTCGCACTTTGTTATTATAAGTTTATGATCGGACGAACCAAGTGGAGCATCTACTTGAATTGTGTACGAGTCAGGATTTGTGGTTAGGAACAAGTCTAAAAGCGCTGCAAATTCGCCCCTTTCTGAGATACGGGTAGGTTCATCGACAAGCTGCGTTAGACCACAACTTATGGCAAAAGCTTCTGCTTCTCTGCCTCCCTTATCTGTTTTGTTGTGGTGTTTCAGCCAGGGTATATTGTGGACGTTGAAATCGCCTAAAAAGACAATTTCCGCCTGTGGATAGTTTGACTGTATTAATAGTAGGTTTTTGTGTCAAAGATGCACTGGATTTTTGAAATGGGTTTTTGTGTATACCAACCTGCCTCATGCCTCAAAGCTCTAGAACTTTACTATGCTCGAAATAATGCAATGGAGGCAAGTTCAAAAGTAGTTCTCGAAGTATCTGAAGCAGCAACTTTGCAAAGAATCCATAGTATCTCTACTATCTCTGCCGGAGTCCTAGAGTCCACACTTTTAAAATTATTCACAAACTAGCTTCGAGTGTTCAGAAGAAAGACACTTTGAAATAACTGCCTTCAAAAGTCTCCGGAGTGACTTTTGAAGCTTCTGAAATCACTCTCAAGTATTCTGAACTTTTCAAACTATTCTGGTTCTCCAAGTATCTGAATCATTACCTTTCCAAAGTAACTAGTACTGATTTCCACACATTTCAAATTATTCACAAAACTGCTCTAATGTGTTCAGAATGATTACAACTAAATCCACTTGCACTTGACTTCTACTGCTGAATTTTCTTTAGATAATGTACATACCTGGGCCCATTATTCTCTTAAAATTTGTACTCTCCAGGACCCCAACAGGTCAACATCAAAAAATTTTTTTACACCACCAAAAATGGGTGAAAAAAAAAATGGGATGTTCTCAATAACATATTATTATTGAATATAAGTTAAAAAAAAAAAAAACTTTCTCCATTCTTCTGAATATTTACATCAGAGATAAATTGAACAAGGACCTCTGGAAAGAGCACAATTGCAGTTTTTTCAAAAACCAGCCAGGCACCATTGGACTAGCATTGTCTATAAAATCAGTCTACCAAAACTTTGGAAATGCTGACATTATAATATAGGAACTTGAATGTGTATAAAATAATGTAGAGATTTTGGTAAACTGATCCTAAAAATGTCTACTTTTTGCCAACAGCTTTTAGGAAAATATTTTCTCAATTTCAAATATTCCATAAATTATAAAAATTTCATTAGCAATTACTTTGTCTCCACGTCTATCTCCTAATAAGTATAATTTCAAAACCAAATAGCAATATAAACCTAAACAATAATACAACAAAATACTTAAGTAATAGTTTTATTTAAAAATATTAATACAACAATAAAAAGTATTCAACTACAAGTTATATACAAATAAAAAAAGTACTACATCGTATTAAAAAACTCTAGATTGAGAAGATACAAAAAGTTTCTTTTATATAAAAAATATAATTTTTCACGTGTGACCAAATTATCTATGGACATTGTACGTATTTAACAAGTTTGCAGTTGAAAGACAAAACTGACAAAAAATCAATGAAGTCGTTGGCATAAAAATGCGTCAAATATATAATATGGCAAGAATATTTTACCATACTCAAAACAACCTGGGCAATCTTATATATTTGCATTAAAAAGGTTTATCATAATTGGTGTTTTTAAAAAAATATCAAAGTTTAACAGATTATAGTTATTTGGGTATAAGAGCTAGCTACGTTTTTGTGGTATTTCAGCAAAGCTTGTGTCTGTTCCACACCGACTGATGTATTGTCAGTGAATGTAAGAATAATGTTGCTTCAATCATTTATTCTCTATGCATCCTGGGTTACATAGAGGGTTTAATACATATAAAATGATGCCTAGCTGAAATACATACTGTAAATGAAACTGTCCCTAGCCCTCAGTCTATTTTAAGATACATATTTTCTTATAATTTTATATGTAATAGCTTCTAAAAAGTTATCTATTTCTATGTCAATTGTTTTTATCTTTGAATGAATCATTGATCGAAGAGCAGAAGTCTGAATCCTAAAAAATATGTTCCTCCAAATGTATTTGTAGCAAGAGAGAACTCGAATAATAACAAAACTGAAATTTAATGTGACAAAAAACACATTAGCTGTCATAAATTCCATTATTGAATTATAAAACAAATTCAAACATTAAATTTTAATATGTGCTTACGATCAAACCTTATGCAATAACTTAACAAATTGAAACAAAATGTATATAATTTGAAATAGAAAAATAATGGACTACACACCGCCAAAAAAGTCAAAAATAAATTATGTATTCGCAAGTTATATGCGCTTGTAGGTCCATCATTCACAACTGAAGTAAATCTAACATATTTCAAAATCGTGTCCTGATATGTATAAATAAAAGGGTAAATTATTATTTTTTATAATTCTGTACATGTTTCTAATTCTAATAGGCGAGGAGGCGGTTACATAAAACCTTTCATTTGCACTTTTGGCTAATTTGATAGAAAATCTTTTCATGAAAAATGAATTGAAGGCCTGGTTATCCCACCAGAAGCTAATGTAATTACAGTAAGTACAGAACGACTCCTCATGGAATTTATAGAGAATATAATGTATATAACAATCTTATTGAGTATTTATTTTTATGTATAAATCACCACTGTCTGCTAGTGAAAAAGTTGAGGGGTTGATTATTATCTCATCTTATAGGCCAAATTAATTTGAAGATAGCAGATGTGGTAATATTACCGTTGATTGTGATCATACCTTAGTGAATTATCAAGTACCGATCTTTAAATATTGATGAATCAACCAAAGTTTGTTTCACTAAAATGGCTCAGAAGCACAGATGTAGTATCCTACAACCTGTAGGTATTACATGTTTGTTCAGAAGGCTTTGGTTTAACAACGGATGGAAAATTATTCAGGAAAAAAAAAGTGGTGCTTGACAAGTCGACATTTTCAAATCAATGTGTTTAAAAATAATTACTAAAAATAAGGCCTCCAATTCGTTTTCTATGAAAACATTTCTCATTGAATTCATCACCAATTACTCTCATATTCGATTATGTAGGATTTTTATGTCACCGGGATCAAGTACTACTTACTATAAGTCGAACAAAATTACATTCAAATGTATAACCCTTTGATATGTTAAATTTTAATTAAAATAATAATAATGCTTTCATTAATTTGTATTTGTATAATAGCGGAGGTAGAAGATTTTAAGGAAAATAGAAATAAATAAAAATGTTTGGAAATAGTATTGTAGTTGTCCTGAGGGATTATTTTAAAATCAATTTCAAATCAAATCAATCAAATTTAGTTATTGTGTTTTTAAAAAATTACATGTGCAATAGATGAACAATGAAACTCCGACAAATCAAGATTATTGTCAACAAAAGGGTTAATAAGACAATTTTAATTGAGTTTTATATGTTCAATAGTTACTAAGAAAAATAAGCATAAAAATTGAAAGAAATTATTTTTCCAAAGTTCAGCTGCATGTGAATCATAATAACAATAAAGCATACAAAAAGATTGAGTCTTTTCTGCTGTCATTTGATTCTTTGTTCACAATAGGAATTTGTGATTTACTTAAAAGTACCATAGTTATCTGTGCAAATTCAATAAGAAAGTATCCAATAAGTATTGAGTAATAAGACACAATAACTAAATTATTCATTGCGCCTTGATCACCGAAAGTAATAAATAGTGAAATTAAAATATATTGATAAAAATAGGCTTAAATATGAATTGTGCAATATTTCATACAAATATTGACAAAAAATTAATTTATGTCCTTTTAGCAATGTACACAGGGTGTCAAGTTAAAACTTTTTTATTTTTGATCATACATAAAAAAGTTACAGGGGGCGATACTTTATAATTTGACACCCGGTACCTATTTTTCACAACTGTGATTAACCTACACATTCAGAATAACTCAAATATGATTTCTACAAAAAAAAAAAAAAAACCATTTCCAAATTCTACAGTTCACATCTGAAAACCAAATCATACTCAAGCTTTCTTATTCTAATAGTTTTATAAAAAAAATATCAATTAAACCTTAATGTTAAGGATTTTTTACTTATCTAGTTAGTTAAACGGCAACAATATGGCTATAGAAAATATTTCCTAGTTGGCACAATCAAAAGGAGACACTGGATAACAAAAATCTATCTAAAAATAGTAAAAAAAAGAAAATTTCAAAATAAAACATTAATGACGGCATTAAATTTACCTTCTATCACGTACCTCTCACAAAATAACTTGTTTTTTTTTAAGTGTATCACTTCTTCACAACATCGCCCGATTTTATTGGTTACACAGATAAAAGGGTACTGAAAAATGTGTATTTGATATTATAGAATTGATTACAATTCAAACAAAAACAATATTTGAAGCAGAAAAATTAAATTTTTCTGTTAAATTCGATTTGCTAAATTGCATAACTCAATATTAATTTATTAACACTTTGAAGAAAGTGGAGAGATCGCTGGGATTTTTTTTTTCTATGTAAAGTAGAAATTTTAGAAATTATTCAGTGGCTTTGGGGATGCTTTGAATGATATCTCAAAATGCTACAGGTAACACGTTTTTTCAAAAACCGTCATCAAATGCCATTCAATCCAAAAAAAAAAAAATGAAATTTACTGCAGTAAGCAGTGTGCCATTCAAATGGCAAATTCTAACCCTCTTAGTTAAATAATTCTATAAGAGAGAGCCATCACTTATTTTAAGCTTGTTTTCTGGACGACCCACCCTGTAGAATAGTGAAAGCTTGCAACTACGTTTTTTTAAAGTATTTTCAAAAATTTATTTAAAAAAATAACACTATTTTTGTTTTGTCAATAACCATTAATGTTGATTATATGATACCTACATATAAAACAATACATTACACAAATATTTTTTGTTACTACATAAAATTCACTTATAATTTAGGTTATTTAAAAATTTAATAAAAATACTTTTATCGACTTAATACAAGAAAATATTTTCGTTTTGTGACAATTAATAATCACATTCAATTTAACGAAATTGTCGTCACAAAACCAGAACTAAGATATGTGTTAATAAAAAAAAAAAACATCCCAAATAGGTTCAAAAATTCCTAGATACAACAACATTCTGGCACATGAATACATTCCAAGACACCTTAGTATATATCACTATTATAGTGCTTAATCCGTAATTCTGTGTACAGAAAGCAGAAACATTGGCTGTAAAATGAAAAACGCACAAAAGTATGTCTTATTACGAGTATGTGTAACTGTTTGAAGGTAGGCCAGTGTGATAACTAAGACACGAGCTGCTATTGCGCAGGTACTCTATTGTAATGATACAGGTACGGATTTGTTCAGCCATTCTCATCAAACCTGTAACAAAATTATTTATTTATTTATTTATTTATTCATTAACGGACGAGCCTACTTACAAAATGTTAAACTCTCAAATTCATAACAAGTTGAAGACAGTTAGAAATGAAATAACCAATTAAAAATAACAATAATAAAATAAAGATTTACCACTTAAGAATCGACTAACAATAAGTAACAACTAATAACAAATACAGTTACATGTGAAAACATGAGTAAAATTTTGGTAGGATACATAGGAATAGTAAAAATAGGCAAAAATAACATCCAATAATAAAGGGTAAGCAGTGGCGGATACAGTGGGAGGGCAGGGGGGGGGGGGGGCAAAATATAGATCGGGGCATTGAGCTCTTCAAGAATATATGTAGAATGAAATATAGGCCATCCCATTTGAAAAAAGCTGGAAGCATGCAAAATTTCACATTTCAGACATTCAAATTTTATTTCTGACCATGATTTCTGAAAATTCAGCCAAAACTTTATAACTTTTGTATTTACACCTTTCTTCTACCTGTGAAGGTAAAGGCTGTAGGTGGGGTGTCAATATATAAAAAAACACCCTGTACAAATAAGTGGTTTATTGCGGAACTTATGGGTGGGCCATCTACTTACCAATATACTGTTGAACTGTTCAAATAAGACATTCACCTGAAACGTCTAGTTTTTGAACTAATGAGAAAAATTCTCAAGTGAGTGAATCAGGTTAGATAACATATTGTTGAATAGATAGCTGGGTCCACCCATAAGTTCCGCAACAATCCGCTCGTTTGTACTTGAATAACTTATCACAATATATTACTAGTTTGGTAAAGTAACATTACTAATTCTTGTTGAAAGGCAAATTGACAAAAAGCGGATAATCTTACAAATTCTGACTTTATATAATAAGTTATTATTCAAGTACAAATAAGTGGATTGTTACGGAACTTATGGGTGGACCTCTGCGGGACGAGCGCAGCAAGTTCCACAGTCATCTAATCACCAATATACTGTTAAACTGTTCAAGTAAGACATTCAGCTGAAACGTGTAATTTTTAAACTAATGAGAATAACGCACATTTGAGTGAGTTAGTATCGTAATTAAACAACATATTGATGAAAAGATGGCTGCGGAACTCGCTGCGCTCGTCCCGCAGAGGTCCACCCATAAGTTCCGCAACAATCCACACGTTTTTAATGGAATAACTTGTCACATTATGTTACTAATTGGGTAAAGTAACATTACTAATTCCTGTTGAAAGGCAAATTGACAAAAAGTGGATAATCTTACAGTTTGACCCCGTTCGGTTTCAAGCGTTCGAGTGTAAAACGCATGGAGTATGACAGGGGTAAAGTGTTTTAGGAGCGTCGCACTTTGCACTCGAAAGCGGCTCAGGCTAAAAATCGCCTCACAATCTGTAAACACAACGTTAAGGTCTTGTCACAAGAGCCTCTGACACTTTGTAAACTCAGAAAGAATCGCTTAGTTTGAACCGAGGCTTGAACCATTGAGGCTTGTACCTTCGACTGCATTGAAAGCGGTTATTATGTAGTGTTTCCGTATTTAGTGCCATATTGTGACATTTGTGTTTTAAATAGTTCATCATGGTTGATACAGGATTCACAAAAGCGCAGTCTGATAATCTTCCCTCTATAGACCCATTTATGGTGGTTCAATATCAGTCGTAGCGTGATGTGAGCTGATCGTGAACCAATCGTTCCACGACTCAAGAGTTAACTACGAAAGTGTGGACCGTGGATTCACGATCAGTGTAAACTATCCTCAACCTTAGTTTACGAACAGTTGACGTCACTGGCAGCCGCCATGTTAAACGTAACTTTTCCGCGCGAAACTGAATTTCTGCTTTCCAATTCTCAAATTTTTCTGTCTAAATGTTTGTCTATTCCCGAATTGTTTTCATCGGAATATCTCCAAACACTCATGAGAAAATGTACAGTGATTTCCAGTTTCTAAGAATACTCAAATTTGGACAGTATTTCCAATATTTCGCGGTAGTTCCAAGTATTTCTAAATATTCCTAGATATTTCCAAAGCATTTCCAAAAACTAAATCTTATTTCCAGCTGAAAAGCAGCAAGTTTTGTTCAGTATTCCCCTAGGTATTTCCAACAAATAAAAATGTTTTCCATGTCCTAGTTATTTCTTTTAGTGTTCAACATATTTTTACAGTAAACTAAACATAATATGCCAACTGTAGGTCTTATGTTCGAGCGTGAATTTCAACTGGCGAAGGACCACCCTATGCTCAGGGAAAACAGTGGACTGCAGACGAGCTTCTTAAAATGTTTTGTTAAAAAAAAATAATATAAAAAATGCGTGGCAGCGAGCAAATTGACAAACGTATGACAAACTTTTTTCTATTTTTTTCAAAAAAGTGACGTCTACTTGTTTTTTATTTGCTTGGTTACTTCTGTTTTGTTTTTTCTTCTCCAGCTCTTGATTTTCTTTTTCATTAAATACCTACTAACCGGAACAGTAGGTATTAGGTAACGGAAAATTGGGGTGAACGTTTAGTATCGTAATTAAACAACATATTGATGAATAGATGGCTGCGGAACTCGCTGCGCTCGTCCCGCAGAGGTTCACCCATAAGTTCCGCAACAATCCACTCATTTGTACTTGAATAACTTGTCACATTATGTTACTAGTTTGGTAAAGTAACATTACTAATACCTGTTGAAAGGCAAATTGACAAAAAGTGGATAATCTTACAAATTCTGACTTTATATAATAAGTTATTGTTCAAGTACAGGGTGTTTTTTTTTTATATGTATATTGACACCCCAGCTACAGCCTTCACCTTTAGAAGTAGATGAAAGGTGTAAGTACAAAAGTTGTACAGTATTGGCTAAATTTTTAGAATCCATGCTCAGAAACAAAAATTGAATGTCAGAAATGTGAAATGTTGCACGCTTTCAGCTTTTTTCAAATGGGATGCCCTATATTTGGTTCTATATTCTTGAAGAGCACAATTTCCCGATTCCAAAACTGTATAGTTTGTCTATATTTGGTTGAGCCGTCTCCAACATATTTGGTTCTAGAAATTTTAAAAATACTAGCAGAGAAACCAAGTATAGTCCGACAAATACCATTTTAAAGTCACGTGATACTGGTGGCAAAAAACGTATGTCCATTGATTATGCCGTTGATATCACCTACAAAAAGCTACTGGTGGGTAATTACTATTGCATTTTAATATATGTTCCCACTAGCATTTTACAAACGCGTTTCTGAAGTAGTATTGACCAATCAGATGAGAATTTTAATACTTGCAATTGTTGCGAGACTCACTTTTGTCGCTTCTGCTGCCCCTTGTAATACATTCTGAACTTGAATTGGGTACCCGTTTTCTATTTGCTTCTTTTCCAGTTGGAAAAAGGTTAATATAGTCAAAATTATTAGCTGTGTTTGCTCGTTGTATTATTTTCGAAAATAACTTTGTCAAACTAATTGATGACAGTGACGGATTCTATTTCAGGTAAGAATATTATGAACAATAATTAGACAGCAATTTTTTTGTCAATTTTACTATCACCGCTGTTTGTGATGTATTCAACAAGGATAGAGAAAATTCACGTGACTTTAAAATGGTATTTGTTGGACTATACATACCTTAAATTTTACCTGCCTGTATAGGTAGAATGGTTCACAAAATCAGTAGTAGGATAGTATTTTTACAATTTTTGGAGCCGAATATATAAGAGACTGTTCAATCAAATATAGACAAATTATACAGGGTGTATATTTTAAGTGATACCACTATTGCTATATCCGAAACGGTAAAAGCTACAAGGTCGGTCAAGTTAGAAAAAAGTTGCCTTTTTTGATGCCCATTTAAGATGCGTTTACAGTGTTGCCAAATTCCTTTTAGTTTCTGAAATACAGGTTCATAACTAGGTCCGAATTATGGTAAAATTTTGGTAAAAATCATTGATGATCACTTTTTAGATTAGAAACGTTGACCAATAATACTTAAGAGGTATATCGTTGGAAACAGAATAGAGGGTGCTTTTTTAAAATGTCATAAAAAATCCAGGTCCGTATTTAAATAAATGAAGTTGATGATGGTAGCTTAACTACGAAACGTCGGATTCGAAATTTGAAGATGCCCTGTTGTAGAGCGAAAAAAATTATAAAACTTTCAAATTTAAATTGTGTCCTGAAAATAAATAGTTTTCGAAATATTTGATAGAATATTTTTAGGCGTTTCTCGTTTCTTAGAAATCACCTTGTACAGGGTGGCGCAAAATGAACGTCATGATTTGAATGCTTTATAACTTTTTCATTTTTGAGTGAATTGTTAAAATATTTTTTTGCACGCTGCGTAAGAACAATAATTGAGTTTCCATTCGCAAAGTAAAATTTAATGATTTTCGTTCGTTGTTGTATCGTATTGTTCCATTTTAAATTCCCCAAGTCTTCTTTACAAAATTCTAAAACGAAAGAGAAATATAAAATTTTATTAAAAAAGTTATAAAACAATCAAATCATAACGTTCATTTTGCGCCACCCTGTATTTCATAAACTAGAAGGAATTTGGCAACACTGTAAACGAGTCTTGAATGTGCATCAAAAAAGGCAACTTTTTTCTATTTCAACCGACCTTGTAGCTTTCACCGTTTCGGATATAGCAATAATAGTGGTATCACTTAAAATATACACCCTGTATATTTTTAGAATCGGGGCATTGTGCTCTTCAAGAATATAGAATGAAATATAGGGCATCCCATTTGAAAAAAGCTGGAAGCATGCAAAATTTCACATTTCTGACATTAAAATTTTGTTTCTGTCTATGGTTTCTAAAAATTCTGCCAGAACTGTACAACTTTTGTATTTACACCTTATTCTTCTAAATAGTTCCCCCATTCCCATATTTTTATGGGCCAGTCCTTCGAAAAACCGTATCTTGCACAATGCGCTGCCAAAACTAACCCAAACTAACCTAATCTGGCTTACTTTAACTTAAACTGCCCCCCCCCCCTTTCAAAAGGCCTGTATCC